GACCTTCTCTTTCTATTTCAGAATAAAATCGTTGTCTAGTAAACTCCTTTGGAATACAGCATTCCTGTTGCAAATTCTCGAATTTACCTAATTTTCTTTTCACATTTTGATATCCCCATTCAACTTTTTGATCTGAGAATAGTGTATCAGAAGTACTAGATATTTTGGTAGGTTGAACTTGAACTGAATCGGGTATTTGAATAGGGTTTGTTTCAGGTATAGGGAAATTGGAGATTCGATGCTCTGCATCATCTGGTACTTGAATTGGACTAATTAGTGGAGCTATATTTCTAGGATGACATGGATTTTTTCGATTAAGATGGGCACGAAGCATTTGTGGTGTTGCACATATATATCCACATCGTTCACAAGTACGATTTTTCTTATCTTTTCTAGTCATGTATAATAGATTTATAATATAATACTTAATAAAATCTTTTGTTTAATTAATTAATTGGGTATATCAAAAAGGGTATTATGTGGTCCAGTTCTATAATAGGTTACACGCTAGGGCTTCAAAAATGTCTTCTCAATAAGTGATGAACCTGGCTCAAATTTTATTAGACTTAGTGTATATCAAAAATTTTTTATTAGACTTAGCGTATATATATTGAAATTTTTATTAGACTTAGCATATATCAAAAATTTTTTATTAGACTTAGCATATATATATCGAAATTTTTATTAGACTTAGTGTATATGTATATTTTTTATTAGACTTTTGTGTGCCAGAAAAGTAGTGAAGAATTGGCTTTAGATTGAATTCTGCTATATCAAAAAAAAATGATATCGTTTTTTATATGGATTTGGGTAAAAGATTGTGTTCTAGATGTATAAAAAAATGATATGCTATTTAGTGTTGTGGTGTGTGAATTGATAGCAAAATGACTAGTGTTAAAATTCGTTATCTTTTTTGATATGGATTAGGATAAAAGAATGTGTTCTAGATATATAAAAAATGATATGCTATTTGGTGTTTTGAGACGTGAATTTAAAGCAAAAAGATTACCACTGTGCCAGAAACCCCATTTTTGCTCTACTAATAATATCTTACACATTATAAATATATATCCCATTTCATTATGTGTTTTAACCTGTAAATATAGTAATAACATAA